AAAATAGTAAGGTGGTTCCCACAGTATGGTCCATAAAGTCGATATTCCATACTAGTTAAGCTCTACTCTTAGTTTTTCTTTTTGATAGAAAAAAAAGTTTTATAAAGAGTAATAGGAAATAAATTACATCAACTAAGAATAAGATAGCCTCCTGGAATCTTTACATAGAAGAGCTCTGAACAAAAAAACAAATTATAAAAACGCAATTATACCCTGTAGGTCAATCTATTATTGGATCATAATTCCTATGAAGAATGGAAGTATAGATATCTGCAAATCTCCATTACCCTTCATCCATAATGTGGAGAAAATTTTGGTTTTCTCCTATAAATTGGATTGGGAGTGGACACTCTTGAAAAACCTTTTGATTCTTCTCAAGCATATGTCCACAAATCGGCAACCGAAGCACCTTGCCAAAGGAGCTTAGCCACTTTTCTTTAAGCTCTCTTCATAAAAGTAGGACTACATGAAACACTCCAAAGAGGGAGGTATAACCCAAGACAAATATATTAAATAACCGTGTCCAAAAATACCAAGCTACTGTAACATAAAAGGAATAGATGCTATGGGTCTTTGCTTTATTGCTACACATAACACAATATCTGCTAGTTGATTATTCTATCCTCATGGGTCTACTCTTAGTTTTTTTGTTCTTATTCATAGGTCTTCCTATAAATATCATGTATTCTAATAACAAGAGAAATACCACAGTATTACGATGGTTTATTATTCTAGCATGGCTGTTTTATTTTAAATTGAGGAAAATTTCTATATCATTTTAGAGAAAAGGAGGTTTTTTATAGAAAGCGAGAGAGATAGTTATAAACATGGAAAATAAGGCATCCTCCAAAAAATATTAAAAAGCAGTAGAATAGTGCACAAAATGTTGCATCCTATGTGCTAAAGATCATTTCATCCAGTTTTGGTGGGGCTCCAAGATATTTGTGTTGGGATAAAGCCCATGTACTTCAGCCCATAAGGTTTCCAGGAAATTTGCGCTTTCTAGCAACTTGTAGAATGAGGTGGGTCAATCATTGAATATCCGATGTTCCGTGTGCAAGTCAGATGCTCCATATTCCTGCAAATTTTACCCCTTTCCATGGAGGTTTAGCTTCTTTCCTCACACCTTCTTTCCTTTTGCTCTCAAGCAGTAAGCATCTTGTAGATTAAATTTCTTGGGATTAGCTCATTAAGGGATCGCAAATTTAACTCTAAGGCTAATCTTTGATTATTATTGTAACTGAAAATGAAGTTTTTGGTGGTTTTGGTTACTGTATCTCTTTGTAACATAATGGCCAGTTATGCCATATTTTGATAGGTCAAATTGAACGAAAAAGCGGAACATGGCATGAAAGGCTTAATACATGGAAGGAGATCTTGGAAAAGGATAAGCTATCAGAGCAGTTAGCTTCATTAAATGCCAGTATGTAGTTGAATTCGACATGAAAGAGGTAGAAAACAGCCTTCG